TGGAGCTGATCACCAGTACTTATTATTATTATTATTATTAAATTATTATTATTATTATTCATTAGGGTCGTTCCTTTAGTATGTGATGATACTCCCCTCTCTAAACTGTTAAGGTACTTTGTGTCTTGTCTTGAATGACTTTTAACCTTTTTACCTCTCCCTGCCCCTCCTCCTCCTCTTTACCTTCCCCTGCCCCTCCTCCTCCTCTTTACCTTCCCCTGCCCCTCCTCCTCCTCTTTACCTCTCCCTGCCCCTCCTCCTCCTCTTTACCTTCCCCTGCCCCTCCTCCTCCTCTTTACCTTCCCCTGCCCCTCCCCCTCCTCTTCCCTTAGTGTCTTGGATTCTCAGTTGCGGCAGCGGCTGGGTAGTAAGGAGAGGGCCAGGCTTCACTTCACTTTGCTAACGACTTTACAAGTTTTGTTTGGAATAACTTTTAATAAAATTGAAGAAATTGACAATGAGGAGTGGGCAGCAGAGTAAGATATTAATTCATTAATTATTATTAATTATTATTAATTATTATTAATTATATTTATAGCAGTACCTGTGATAAAGATTACCATTCTTATGTGAAGAATTTACAAAATAAATTTGTTTTAGAAAAAAAATATCCTCACCTGGTAAATATAAGTAACATGTATACAGTATAGCCTCTCTTAATGGACACTCTCTATAGTGTACACCTCCATTTAATGGACAGCACCTAGTGTACTAATTACATTCCTTACTGTATAAAATAACCTCCACATAAAGGACACCTCTGTATAACAAAGACACAGTGTCCATTATATAGAGGCGGCTAGTCAGTACATGTATATTATTATTATTATTATTATTATTATTATTATTATTATTATTATTATTATTATTGTTCATTCTTTCATTACAGGTGCTAAAGCATATGTCCAATCCAGATGTGAAGATATGTGTCCAGATAATGGGGTTCCTCTATACTCTAGTGTTCAATGGGAATGAAGAAACTCAGGATTATATCTGTGACAGGATTGCTAATAATGCCAACTTCTTCTTGTCAATCTACAAACTGATTTCAGTGATACTCCAATACAGCCATATACCAAAGTTAGTCTTATAATAATAATAATAATAATAATAATAATAATAATAATAATAATAATATTTATTTATTTATTTATTTAGAGATTTCTTATTGACCAAGCCTGTGAGTATTCACATATAATAATAATAATAATTAATTATTATGTTTAATTAATAGGGACCTACTGATGATGACAATAAGCTACCGACCGCCGGTACAGGGGTCAGTGGTAGTAGGCCAGAGGGAGCTAGTGGTGTTACTATTCTAGAAATGGATACTTTAGCAGGATCTGGTCAAGGATTGGTATGTATTTTATGTTTGTTATCATGATATATTTCTTGATAGGAGAAGACTGATGCTTTATTAGCCACACCCTCTCCTCCCACTCCTCCACCTAATGTACCACCAAAGACAAGCACTACATCTTTTATCACCACCTGTAAGTCTCTGCATGTATTTCATTATAATTAATCAACACTTCTTTTATTAGATCCCCAACCAGCTGATGAATTGGTAAGTTAAACAGGTACCATACATGTACATGTAGTGTCCCTCTTAATGATGTACAGGACGTGTGGTTGCATCAAGTTGGTGTTTGCTTGGACCTCATCTCTTCTCTCTGTGATGGACAGAACAGAAAACTTCAAGCAATCATGAAGGAGCAAGACAGCTCATTCGTAAGGAGAAGGGAAAGAAATAATTTCTATTATTTGTACAATTAGAATATTAATGTCATTAGTGGCATAGCTGCACTCCTGGAGACACTAGTTGAAATAAAACAAGAAAATGAAACTGAATCAGCTATGATTACTGAAACAATGACTAAAGCCATACAAGTAGACATTATTTGTTTATTTATTTATTTATTTTGTTTGTTTGTTTGTTTTACAGTGCCTCATCGAGTTGTGTGCTGGTAATTATTCCAATCAAAGTGCAGCATTAGATGGTCAAGTGTTGGACTCCATTAACTTGATAATTACAGAATCCTGTCCTACTGAACATCCAACTACTAAAATACCAATTGTAATGATAATAATACAATGACCATCATCATCATCATCATCATCATTATTTATCATTATTATTAATAACATTTATAGATAGTTAAAGTGCCACTACCAATTGATGTCCTTGAGATGCAGTGTAAAGCTGTTGAGTTGCTGGAAGTTCTTCTTGAAGAAACGAACAAAGAGTTCAGTCCTGGTCTAGTTAAAGCAATATCCAAAGACCTCAAGAAGAAAAGAGTTATGTACTTTGTGAAGGCAGTCCATGCCAGAGTGAGTTATTACTGATAGATGCTTCATTGTACATGCATATATTGTGTATAGCTGTGTGCTAATGGTAAAGATGTTGATATATATTGTGTATAGTTGTGTGCTAATGGTAAAGATGTTGATATATATTGTGTGCTAATGGTAAAGATGTTGATATATATTGTGTATATAGTTGTGTGCTAATGGTAAAGATGTTGATATATATTGTGTATAGCTGTGTGCTAATGGTAAAGATGTTGATATATATTGTGTATAGTTGTGTGCTAATGGTAAAGATGTTGATGAAAAGAAACGGTTTGAGTTTATTGAGAGGAACATGTTCAGGGCATACCACATACTGAGGAGTCTTGCTGAGGACTCTGAACTGGAGTTTGAGGAATTTAGTCAGCATTTAATTAATAATAATAATAATAATAATATTTATTTATTTATTTATAGTTGGATTGAAAAAATTGAAGCCTGTTTTACAAGAACCAGTAATCAATTAATTAATTTTTAATTAATTAATTTTTAATTAAACTATCTAGGGAGATGTTGCAAATCAAAATAGATCTCCTGTTGCCAACGACAACTCGGACCAAGCATTGGAAGATCATAGCAAAGAAGTAATAGTAATTAATTAATTAATTAATTAATTAATTTTTAATTAAACTATCTAGGTACATGTTGCAAATCAAAATAGATCTGTTGCTAACGACAACTTGGACCAAGCATTGGAAGATCATAGCAAAGAAGTAATAGTAATTAATTAATTGATTGAATAATTAATTAATAATAGTTAACTGAGATAAGGACACTGTGCGATGAATTGAATAAAGACACTCACAGGATTGAAGTTAATTACATCACTAAAGACAAGAAGTGGATTTTAACTCCTGTCTATTTCCCATTTAAATACTCAGTATGATATTCCAGTTACATGTACTTATAAATATACACATTTATATGTGCTACTAACTCACTATCATTTGTATTGTAGAGGTGTATGAGTGATGGGGAGAAGAGTATCCTTCAGGCTAACATTAATCGTGATTCAGTGGAGGATAAAGCAAAGGACCTTTCTAGCTGGACCAAATCATTCTTGAAAAAACATGAATATAAAGTTAGAATTAATAATAATAATAATAATAATAATAATAATAATAATAATAATAATAATAATAATAATAATAATAATAATAAATTAGAGAGAACTTGAAAAACATCACATATGGAGAGTGGTATCATTTCTTTCGTAAGTTATTAATTAATTAATTAATTGACTGATCTTTCCTTAGTATGTTGAGGCACTGGTTTTTAATTTTTTTGACAGTTTTTTTGAACATTTTTGTACTTGGAATATTTCAGATACCATCATACAGCTGGTAATAATAATAATAACAATAATAATAATTTGGTTTTTTATGAATATTAAAAGTTACTCTAAAATCAGACCAAAGTCCCTATACTATTATAATACAGGATCATTCACCAAATTTTCCAAAAAATAAAAAGGAGAATTCTCCATTTTTATGATCTTTTCCTAATGCATTTACATGTTCTTATGTTGTGTAGAAAGTTTCAGCTGATTCCAATCAAATATGAATTTTTTTACAAACTTTTAAGGTTGCCAAAGATCATTACTATTAATTAATAAGCTCCTCCCCTCTCTCTAGTGAATTTGATCCCAATGTCACAGTCAGTGGTTTATTGCTGATACCTCGTCCATGGAACTGTTGGTCTACATATCAATACGTCATTCTTTATTTCTTTGGAGTGATCCACTTTGTTCTTAGTTTTTGGATGGTCGTTGAATACTTTGTCTGTGAGAAACCTAACTTCCTTTATGAAGTACCTCTCTTTAAAGCTGTTGTGTAAGTGTTTCTAACATTAGTTGTTACTAATAATAGCTATTACTAACAATAGTGCATATACTGTGATCCATTGATTATTATTATTGGTTATAGGAATGGAATTAAGAACTGCATTAGGAATGACATACCTTTATTGTCCAAGAAGTTCAAGTGGATTGATACTATTGAGGAATCTAAAGACAGCGAATGTTTTGATATTTATTTATTCAGTTTTTCCCCGATGTACAGGGTGCTGTTTCTACTCTTTTCTTTATTAAGTATTGGAACTTTTGGGTACTTTTACTGTCTCTGTCTCCCTTACATCTTCCTAAATATTGATGTGATGCAGGATATTGTGAAAGCTATTAGCAGACGTAGTAAGCTAGTTTGCATGTACATGTACTTGCTACTGAAATCACTTCATAATTCATATTTATGATTTTATATTTATTTATTTATTTATCAGGGAAACAGCTATTCCTAATAGCCTGCTTCATTCTTTCTCTCCTACTGATATATGCTGTTCTTTCGTTTGCTATAATGTCCAGTTTCTTTAATCCAGGAGAGAACAACCAGTTCTGCACTACACTCTGGCAGTGTTATATCACTGTTATCAGGGAAGGACTGCTTGATGGCTTTGGAGTATGTTCTTTATTGCATGTCCATTTTATACTAATTGTTTAATAATCTTGTATAGGCTATTTCAGTTACTTATGTTGGACAAAATGGAGCCAATTTTAATATTTATTTATGGAGGGCAGTGTTTGATTTGATATTCTTTGTTGTCATTTCAACCATTTCCCTTGAAGTCATAACTGCTATCCTAGTGGACACATTCTCTGAACTTAGACAAGAAAAGGTTTCACTGTCCAATCCTTCATAAATAATGATTTCCTTTTATGATGATGTGTATATGTAGGACGCTGCTGAAAAGGATCAGAAAAGTGTTTGCTTTGTCTGTGGCATTGACAATGATGACTTTGAGAGGAGAGGAAAGGTTTGACTCCTAACAATGTTTATTATTATTCCTGATGTTATTGTTGATATTATTATTATTATTATTATACTCATGCAGGGTTTTGCTAAACACTACCATTCTGATCATAATATCTACAGTTACATTTACTTTATACTCCACATCAAGTCAATGTCTCCTCATGATCACAATGCTATTGAGAAGTACGTCAATGACAAGGTACAGCTGGAGAGTATAAGCTTCATGATGTCATTGCTATGTTCATTTCTTAGTTTGGTAATGATGAAATAGACTTTTATCCGTTGCATAAGGCAAAGGTGTTGGGTGGTCTTGTATTGAAGAAGAAAGACATGAAAGGAATGATTGATGAGATGTTGATGAACACTTAACAGTCTATAGCTGATGAACACCTAATAGTCATAGAGTTTATATACTAGCTGCTGCTGAGTCTTTTAGAGTCACTTTTTTTATAAAAATACATATTACTATTATTATTATTAATGCTTCAGTAGTGATTTAGTTATAGTTATAATTAATGTGTCTTTGAGTTTTTTGTTATTTTTAAGTTGATGGTTCCATTGGTTCCACTGCTGCTGGACTATCAACTAGTGATTTCAATGGTACATGTATTCTTTTAGTTCCTTTACTACATTTCTTCCATGTGTCATATGTACCAGTCCCTTTCTTTGGTTCCTCCCCATCGCTCCATGTAAAGGCTATCAGGTAGTCACTTTTTGCTACAAACGAGTTCCTTACATGGAATCCTTTATGTTCCCTGTATTTAGCTCCAATGGCAATGGCACTGCATATCTGCTGTAAGCTGTTGTCCTTAATCTCGTTTGAAAATGCTTCATGATAAAGGTTTGCTGTTCTTCCAGGGTTTGTTTTCCAATTCTTCTCTCCTGTGTCAAGGAAGTGTGGTTTGTCATCTTTTGTGATGAACTTTGTTGGAAAATGTAGCATTAGGCTATTTACTTCTTCCAGTAAGTACAGCGACACAGCAATGTGATCTGAAATTGATGTATCAATCAACTGACTTGATCCTACTAACCTGCCCAAGGCCCCAAGCTGCTCCACCACTTACTGGCTCTGCTTTATTCAAATTTCAAGGACAGTCTAAACTTTTCGGTAATGATCTCTTTTGCTTTCTCTATTGCCTTGAGGTATATATCTTTATTTAGTTTACCACTGTCAGGTCCTCTTCCAGCCGTACCTATGATACTGACTGTGGATACAGACCTTTTTAGCCATTTTATAATGGTAGTCATTTTGATTTTGACATTTTCTAATTCGGTAATTCCTCGAATTCCCGCACTGGCACCCAATACGTACAGGAAATAACGTCATAATAATATTGTAAGACCTATTGAAATATTCTTGAAATATAGTTGTACAACTACTCGTGAGTGCTTCATGAGGTAGCATAATACTCTATGGTAGTATAGGGTACCCATGGCAACTAGATTCCAGCAACACCACCACACCTTGAAGGCAAGATGGAGGATATCTGTACTGCACCTCTCGGCACCTCCTGGGTCTATACTACTGTGGCGTCAGCGGCACAGCTACTAGTGTTGAGCTTACTATTTAGGTAAGTTGAGGTTTTAAAGTAGCTTTAAAAACAGTTATTGCATGCAGTTGGCAAGACATTATTATGTTATATATATATATATATATATATATATATATATAATACATATTCATATGCTATTTACATAATGCTGGTAGTTGTAACTTTTATTTTGCTGTTATTAAAAATTAATTATACTACTAACTGTGTAGTCTTGCCCTAGTCTCGCTGCCCAGACCCTCCGCCTGCAGTCATTGGGGTGGACACCCCAATGACCGTATTTATAGGCGGAGGGTCTGGGCAGCAAGACTAGTCTTGCCCCATCTATACCAAATCTTCAATTATAAGTAATAATGAACAGATTTGTAGCATCTTAATAGTATCTGTATTAGTATCTTAATAGACAACAGATTTCTGTTTGTTAACTGTAGTGTAGATTAAGATTTTCACATGCATGCCGAGAAATGAAGTAATGGCTATGTGTGGGTGTCTTGTATTTGTGTTGTGGACAGACATGTACTACGTACATGTACATGTATGGAAATGTAAAATTAGGTAAATCTATTAATACTATTATTGTTACTGTGTCCAGGCCTGAGGTTAATTACTTTCAATTGTAATCTATTACTATTACTATTACACCTTGACACTTCATATTACTATTACTATTACTATTACAGGGAAAATGACAGGTAATAGTATTACTATTACTATTACCTCTTGTAGTTTTACAACATAACGAAAAATAATTTAAAACAATACGTTGATAGCATTTAATAGAAATTAGTCTTTCAAACACACTGTCAGACAATGGTTGAAATATTTTACCAGCTATATCAAATAGCCATTCGACTGGGGTTATTGGTATTGCTTATTGTGAAAGATAATCTATAGTGTCCTCAATGTTAATTTAACACTATTATACTTAGGCCCTATTACTATTACTATTACTATTACTATTACATGAAAAATTGTAATAATTACTATTACTATTACTATTACATATTACCCCAGGCCTGACTATGTCACCA